CCGCTGCGATAAAGAAGGGATTACTATACATGTTTACCACACGCCAATCAGAGACGTAGTTTTGTTCCACTAGTCGACTACAGTAAAGTAGTGCTCACGAATGTGCAGTGGAAGTTAGCAGGCGACTCGGGCATTAGCTGAAAGCTAACGACTTCAGGCTAACACCGATTGCCGGTAACCTTCATAGATTCATATCAGCGGTGAGGATCAAGGGCAGCAACACAGAGTGAAGCTTCATCGATTATTATTTCCAAAATGAGCAGACAATAAATGTGTCAGAAAGAAAACTTTAACACCATAGAATAACAAATGCCATGATACCAGTGTCTTTTCTGTCATAATACTTTTTGGCTTGTTGAACCATTGATAATGGTGACTGATATTCTTTTAATCATTTGTTGTGATTTGTTTGTATGCCGGTCCCTAAAATAGTTCTTCACATGAAAATGGCTCGTAGCACTAAATGGTTTGTGCACCGCTGCCGTTATTTAAAAAACACACACACACACACACACACACACACACACACAAACAAACTGTGTGTGCATGCATGTGTATTTTTTGAATGTCAGTGTTTAGTAAATATTCTATAACTTCGTTTGATAAATATTTTAATAATTTTGTGAAATATTTAGCAGTAATATTAATTTGTGAAATTATGTTACCTTGGTTTTAGTAAGACTAGTACACAATTGCAGCCATGAATGCAATTCACTGTAAAAGTTTAGTGCAGCTTTGCAAAAGAGTAAAAAAAAAAAAAAATTAATCAAGTTGCCTCAGGTGATTTGAACTGTGGATGCAGTTTTGAAACTGCGCAATTTAGCATTGCTGGAAAAGCATGTAAACTGATGTGCTTGAAATTGACGTTGGAAATGTGTGATGTGCCCTTACTCTTTCTGTGTTTGATGTTACTGGAGGTTTAAACTAGTGAGCCCTTGCTCTATATCATCATGTTGCTCTGGTGCATCCCCAAATTTGCCGTTGTGGGCGAGCCGCAACAACAGGTCTCCTTCTCGTTGCGTAACCTTCTACGAGCGCACAGGAATGACAACTGGAAAGGGCAGATCCAAGGCGCACACCCCTCCCAACCGCATACTCACAGAGAGTGAGCCCCCCCCCTGCCCCCACACAGACGTCCTGTCACTCCTTATCTTCCCGGCAGTATTGAGAAGAGCGCTCCCTTTGCCCCTGTGGACTGTAAGTGTGTGTTGTGTAGCGGCAGGCAGAGTTGAGATTGTGCGACCCGATCTGGAATGGGAGAGGGAGTCACAGCAGCAGCTGCTGCCTTGCATTAAGCTGCTCTCACTCTGACAGAGGACAAATGCAGTGAGACACACAACTTCTACAAACAACAATAACGCCTGATTTGTCCAACCCGTCCGGACCCCACTGGATTTGTTTATGTCTTCCCCGTGGTGTGCGTCGTGAGGATGAGGATGAGGGAGCTGTCTCTGCGTCAGGACCCTGACCTGAGGAAGGAGCTAGCCCTGCTGGCGCGAGGCTGTGACTTTGTGCTGCCCTCGCGCTTCAAGAAGAGGCTTAAAGCCTTCCAGCAAGGACAGGCCGAGGTTCGTATGGGTGTACTGGATTCATGACAAGGGACTTGAATTCTGTCTCGGTGTTGCCCTGACTACCCACAAAATAAAGTTCCGATCATCATATCATTCTTTGTTAACCAATGGAGATAGTCGTTCCTTCGGTCCAGTGTCATCAAGTGTGCGCCACGATTACGGAGTAGCCTTCATCTTGCGCTGTTTGCCAGCAGTTCTGGTCACCGTGTCATCATTTGTTAGCCAATGACACAGGTGTTGTTTTGGCCCTGTGTGATCAGCTGATCACATTTATTGGATGGTGTTCAGCTTGCACGGTGTGCCACCCACTACCCGTGCCACTATCCAGAACCAGTTCCTATCACCGGATCATTCTTGGTTAGCATGTAGCATCAATTTTTGCCACATTTACTCATGTGGTACTATAATAGCCCCGACTCCCAGCAACTCCTAGTGATCCACTGATCCTTGGGAACCCAGAAAAATTCCTTCAGTTTCCAAGTACATCATACTGTTTTTTGTTTTTGTTTTGTTTTTTATTCGCCAGTGGCACAGGTGTTCCTTGGGCCCTGTAAGATCTGGTGTGCGCCACATTTACTCTGTGGCGCTTTCCTTGCACAGTATTGCCCACCCCTCTGTCCCTGCTTGAGGCTACATCACAAGGAATGTGTAAAATGTCATAAGGCTTAGTAAGTCTAGCTTCAGGCGCTCAGCTTGTGGTTAGCACGGGGGGGATAGGTGGGGGACAGTGTGTGGCAGGGTGGCAGCAGATGTGGTTGATGTCCTTTTATAGCCATGGCTGACACCGGCACACCGTGGAGCGCTGCACACAGCAGAGGATCATCCACATCCAGATCATCATCCACCGTGTCCCCTCAGCAGTTTACAGTTTAGACCATGCTGACATGTTTCTTGAGTTTGCAGGCCAGCAACAGACATCAATTGAATGGCACTCATAGACATTCAGCCATGCCAATTAGAGACTCACTCAGTTGTTCATATGTTAGATACCATAATAATGGTTTGCTCTCATACAATATGTGCTTATGACTAAATATATCTCCTTGTCTTTTAATTTGCAACCAAGTTTCCTTAGCCTGCAGTTTCTGTATCCACTTGATCTGTCAATTTCGTGTTCTAGCAGTTATCATGTACGCCTCACTTACTGTTATGTGGATGCTCAAAAACGGAGCCTGATGAAAAGTCAGCCAAATTATCCCCGGTTCATGAATAGGACTGTCACTATTGAATCATTTTCGAATCGATTCTCCTAAACGACTCTCCCATCGAATAATCAAGTAAGTACCCTGTCGTTTGTACAAAACAGTGACACGAGTGGGGGCATGGCAGAGTAGAGCTGCCTTTTACTGGCAGACTAGCAGTGTAAACGTGTCTCATGATCTTCCAAAGTGTATCAATCAGCATGCCTCTGTTGGAACACGAAAACACGAGGCTGTGGTTCATCTCGTCATTTTATTAGTGGCATCTGTTATTTCCGCTGTGTCTGCAGAATTGCCTGCCTTTAAAAATCCAAAAGCCAATTTATGGATTTAATTCTTTCTTTTTTATTAGGATCCATCCCCATTAGCTTCCACAAAAAAAAAAAAAAAAGTGGTGGCTCGTCTTCCTGGGGTCCTCAAATTAATACAACAAAGATTAGACTTACTCTACATAATAAAACACTGTTAGCCATGATCATTTTTTTAATGTAAATTGATCACATTATCACAGAGTGAAGAGTTGAGGACTAATCGGGCTGCTCTATTCTGTGCAAGTTAGTTTTATTAAGATGTTTTTATTAAGCGTTTGACCAAATAACATTACTCCAAATGTGACAAAACAAGTGATCGAACAAGATCATGCATCATCAAAGATGGAACAAAAGCAGAAGATTTCCTTGAAATTGCAATTCCCTGAAACAATATACAGTAATCAATTTGATCACTTCCAGTAATTTAGCCTCAGACACCTGCTCTACTTGTACCCCATCAATATACAAATTGAGTGCAGCGGCATTATCAAAAAGATTTCTGCTACCAAATAAAATAGATTTAGTTTGGGCACTATTGCCAAACGTTTAATTTTCACCCATTTAATAATGTTATTCAACTCGACCTGAAATTTATCTCTCAGTTGAATTGACTAGGGTGATGTCTCGAACAAAGTTTGAGTCATCTGCACACATTATCCAATCTGAATTTTTGACAACACAGGGTCAATCATTGATAAGAATTGAAAATAAAAATGGTCCTAAACAACTTCCCTGTGGGACCCCACAAGACATATTTTCACTGGTTGAAAAACTGACAATGAAAAATACTCACTCTGTTCTGCCATACAGATAACTATCTGCCGGAGATGAGGGAGGAAAAACTAATACTGTACTAAAAATTGAGCTTCGCTATGAGAATGCTCTGATCATTGACACCAAAAGAAGCAGTTAAAATCCGGAAGCACTGCGCCTATAACTACCTTTTTATCCATGGCTTTTAACCATTTATCACCTCTTGGTTAAATGTATTGAATGAAAAAGAATGTTTTTTTTTTTCTTTAATCCATCATCAACTTGATCTCAATGCTTCTCACTGACTTTTGCGATCCGGCTTGTATGCGGCCTTGGAGGGTTCACTCATCAATATCACTCATCCGTGTGTTTATTTCTATAACTGTACGACAAATTCTGCCTGATGTTCAGTTTCAACTTTTGCTTAATGTGTCTGTTGCTTGCAATTGTGTCAAACTGCACGGCAGTTACGCAGAGGGATGTCACCTCATTTCAGTGATTAAACCTGAGATGGTACATGTTGTGAAACATGATGGCAATGCCACAGATGATGTCAATTGACTAATCTTCTCTGTCCTTGGAGACATCAAAATAGAGCACCCATTGGCTGTTTATTAACTCTAAATAGAGAGCACAAAGTGTGAGCGGATAAAAGTTACCACAGAGTAGACACGCTAAATCAGCTGATGTTGTTGTCTCATCAGCACTGACTGAATGTTTTTCAGGCACCGCATTGCCTCAAGTAAATAAAAGTAAACACCCCGGCCAAAATAGACCTACTTAATCCAAATTTTCCAGCAATAAAAATGACAGGTGGTTCCACAAGATGGTAGCAATTATACCCTCATTATGACAAATACCAATGTGTTTCATGATTTGTGTTATTGGACAGTGACAATATTATTAATTCTGTTGTTATTATTCACTTAATATTATTATTCAAATGTTTTCGTACAAATACAGGTTTCTGCTAAAGTACCCACTGCAATCTGCATTTGAGTTTTTAATTAATTAAAAGCAACTGTTCTCGGTTCGACGAAGATTTATGAATGATCTTCAGACCGTTGCTAGCACGTGATAGCATCAGGTGGTTAACAGTGTGTGTGTGTGTGTGTGTGTGTGTGTGTGTGTGTGTGTGTGTGTGTGTGTGTGTGTGTTTGCATCAGGCGCAGGTGAGGACAGAGGAGCCCGTCAGCCGTGCACCGAGCGAAAGCATTCCAAAGTTTTACTTCCCGCAAGGTCGGCCCCAAGCCAACGTTAACATCGACAGCCTCATTTCCAAAATTGAGGCGACGTTCTGCCAATTCCCCAATGAAAGGGCCACCATTGAGGACATGGGGCAGGTTGCCAAGGTGAGCGAGTGATTTGCAGCATGCCACCCAGTCAAATGATTTACACGTTTGCTCCTTTCACGCCAAAAATACGAGCCCGGCGTCTCTGTGGTTTGAGGGAAACCCCAAAGCATTTCCTCGGGGAAATTGTCAAATGATGCAACTTTTCACCAGCACCTTTACGCTGCAGCGCTCCAACTATTTTAAATGTCCTCAATAATAACAACAAGATGTGTCTGCTCAGGCCTGCGAGTGTCCCCTCTACTGGAAGGTTCCATTGTTCTGCTCGGCCGGGGGCGACAGGACGGGCTTCGTGTCTGTGCACAAGTTCGTGGCCATGTGGCGCAAGTAAGACAATGGCCTCTTTTGTTGATTTCAGCCGGGCCACGCGTGCACACGCTCGTTCAACGTCGCCTGTTTGAACTGTTATTTCCTTGGCATCAGTAAACAGAAATGATCGGTGGCAAAGGCCTTATAAACATTTGCACTGCGAACAAAAACAGGACGAGAAAAACATGACTTTTATAAATATGCGTATGCCCAGTTGCCTGTAAAAGTCTCGGGCACTGTTAGGTTAGCCTTATTTTGTTTGCAATTCTGAAATGACTGTATAACTAAGAGTTCACAGCAAAGACCTACTCGAACTGCTGGTGTTCACAAAATTACCGTATTTTCACGACCAGTCGGCGCACCGTATTGTTGGGCGCAGTCTCAGTAACGGGTGCTATTTCTGTATTTGACACATACACAAAACGCACTGTATTATTGGGCGCAGCCAGGCATGGTAAAACATACGCCAGCTTAAACATACGGCATGCATGCACGCACGCTAAAAACACATTAGCTTGAAGCATACGGTAGCATGCATGCACGCTAAAACATACCAGGTATGTTAGCTTAAAGCATACGATAGCAGCTAAGACATACGGACACACGCTAAAAACACGTTTTTAAAAAGGCAACGGAAGCAAAACCGAGTTTGGTGTATTTTATTTAGCCATTTTACAATGTACTCACGCGACTGGTACCTGCTAGGGGCGTGCCTTTAGCGTCCTCTTACACGCCCACCCTTCACTCATTGGCTACTGGTACCTGCTAGGGACGTGCTTTTAGCGTCCTCTTACACGCCCACCCTTCACTCATTGGCGGACTTCCGCATGCCTGTCATCACTCACGTCCACCTTTTCTCTAGTCCACCTTTTCTCTATATAAACAGCGTGTCGGCCAGAAGTGCTCTCAGTCAGGCTTTGGAACTCGGCGCATACACTAGACGCTCCGCATTATAAGGCGTCCTGTCCATTTTGGAGAAAATTTAAGACTTTTAATGGCGCCTTATAATCGTGAAAATACGGTAGGTTAAAACTACAATGTAATAAAACCTGTTTTGTTTGTACTTCACATGTGGAGTATTGAGTATGTGAAAGGGAATTCACAAGTGAACATTCGTCGAATCACAGTATCGCTTTGACTAAATTTGTCCGTGGCCCCCATTGTTTTTGTTGTTATTGTTTTTTTTTTTTTTTCAGCAATTCTGAACTATTTGGAGGGGGGGAAAAAGACTAGATCTGCGAAGTGATGTATTTTTGTATACCGTATTTTCCGCACTAAAAAGCGCACTTAAAAGCGCACTTAAAAGCGCACTTAAAAGCCTTCCATTTTCTTACAAGTTCACAGCACGCCTTAATATCCGACGCGCCTTGTGTATGGTCATTACGGTAATATGCCAACCCTAAAATGGCTCCTTGCTCGAGACATGCTTACAACGCAGAGTTCAAACTTAAGGCGATTGGTTTCGCAGTTGAACACGGAAATGGAGCAGCGGCAAGAGAGTCCAACGTGAACGAGTCAATGTTTGCATTTCAATGTTTGCAATGTTTGCAATGCATTTCCTTGAGCGTAGCTCCATCTAGTGGATGCATTGTAGATTGCGTCTTATAATGCGGTACGTCCAATATATGAAAAAAAATTACAAAATAGGCCATTCATTGAAGGTGCGCCTCATAATCCAGTGCGCCTTTTAGTGTGGAAAATACGGTATCTGTTGGTTATTTCACCAGAGCTGCGGCAATGGCAGGATGGCTCAAAAGTGATATCGCGTCCATTTATGCTGAAGCCACACAAGCATACCAACAGTGAACATACCGTACTGTTAATGTGTGCATCTTTATCCACATCCTCAGCAAAATGCGCCACTGTACAAAATGTCAATATGCAGTCTGAGTTCTAATATGAACGGTGACATCATTAAAACAAGAAAGCTCAAAGCATCGAAGACTTTTGCACATTACTGTACGAGTACGTGATAGTCTTGTGCAGTCTGGGCCTGCCCTTGTATTAAGCATTCAGAAAGCTGGACAGGCCGACCTTTGACTTGAGCTCATAATCGAGCTGTTCTTAGATGAGAGGCCACAACAGATGCTCACCTTCCCCCAACCCCCAACTCTTTTTTTTTTTTAAACTACCGCCGCTCTCAACGCTGATAATTACCCAGAAGCCATCCAGAATCCTAATTTCCGAATGTATTAGAGCTGTTCTCCTCTCATAATAGGACACAACAAAAGAAGCCAAGAGAGGGAGTAACCTTGCCACCATCTGTTCTCTCTTTCTTATTCCACCCCCGTGTAGAACGCTGCAGACCTGTCACGACGAGGCCGCCAAATTCGTGCACCTCTTGGCCAAGCCTGGCTGTAATTACCTGGAACAAGATGACTTTATTCCCTTCTTGCAGGTACTGGCAAGGCCGCACGCGCGCTCGCCACTTTGGCTCGCCTCGTTGCTCACACAAGACCGATTCATATGCACTTGCCGGCCACTTCATTAGGAACACCGGCGTGGTCTTAACTTTTGATTGACAGTGTCAGCAATGTCTTACTGAAACCAGAGTTGGAAAGAGCACTTGGATTTTTCTACACAAGTCAATTCAGTGTACTCAAGTACAGGAGGGTCCTTGCATCAAAGTCTGAGCATAATTTATCATCATATCATCCACTTTTTTTTTCAGTTCACTAAAGTAACAAATGCCCAATGGAAATAATATGAACTAATGCTAAAGATGACTAAATTATGGCTTTAACCACTATTATTTACTTGGATGTTGTCTGCCAGAGGAGGCATCTCCCTGTAAACTATTTATTTTTACTAAATTTTTCAATCATATTTTTCTTTCCTGAGACGTCGTTGCTATAAATTATGAGGTATGCTACCATCTATACACTCAGTGATGGCAATTTTCCGCGGATACGCGGAAATCCGCCGTTTTATTTCTTCATTGATCATTTTTGTGAATCGTCTAAATCCGTTGAGAAAATTTTAGGGGGGGGTCAGGTACCTTATCGTCGAGTTTTCACGAGCTCTCCCGATCAGTCTTTCCATCTTCCGATTGTAAACAGACCTGCGATTGGACGTGTATGATGTCTTACTTGTTGTGATTGGTCGCTATATCGGCAAATGCAAATCACAACCAATCCGCGTTCGCCTTCCTAAAGCCCTTTCTCGCGAATGCCGAATGTTATTGAGACTCGCGACGAAGCTAAAGTGTGTCAGATAGATGCGGATCTGAAAAACACGTTTCGATGGGACTGCTTGGATAGAAAGCTGACTGTGTCCCCAGTAGGAAACAGTAAAGAGGAACCATTGTGCTTGTGTCGGATTTCGTGAAAAAGCTCGATGTCGCCGTTCAAGCTCTGTGTACAGTGTGTGACGATGTCATTCTATACGGATCGAGAGGATGGAAAGCTTTACAGAGTCACGCAACCTCGGTGAAACACCGAAAACAGACATTTCTACTGAAAAGTAATGACTCGATCTCAAGCGCTTTTCGACAGCCTGGAGCATGTGTAAAAACAAGAGGAGTTGGCTAAAAAGAGAGTGGAAAAAGACGGAGATGACCAATAAGCTTTTAGCGCTTGCTAAAAAGCTTAAAATAAAGAGAAAATAAAGTATTCTACCTCATGAAACTGTATATTGTTGTATATACTGTAAATAGACATCCACTTTATATCATAAAATACATTCATAACCCATATATAGTAAACAGTGTGGGACTTCACTATCACTGTATGAGGTAAGAATCAATAGCTTTTTATCACATTTACACAACACTTTATGAATACAAGTAATGAACAAATCTTAAATATGGCAGGGAATGTGTTTCCTTTTTTAGTTTGGATTTTGAGCAGCAAATTTGAAGTTACATATTGGTGCTCACCAGGATTGCATAAGCAAAATTGCACAATTTTTCACTTGAAAGAATAGTGGCAATCTTGGGATTTTTTTCTGTTCAAGTTTCAAATAGTGTGTAAATTCAATACACTTCATCTTCAGCATGTTTAGTGCCACTTTTGTAAGTAACCACGCCCCCGTCCAGGCCCCGCCCCCAAGCCACGCCCCGTCAATGCCACGCCCCTTTCCGCTTTTTTCATCACTCGCCATTGCCATCACTGTACACTATGTTGCGCAAGCTTTCACAAGTCAAACTTCAAAAATGAGAATATCTCTCAAACCATCAAATATTGCCTGGAAACAGTGAAGACATTTTTAAAATCATCGTCAATACTACATTTCAGGACACAAGGCCATCTCTGGTTAAGTGTTGATGTTATTTTCAATCTTTTTCAGGGACACTCACTTTTAACTAATTCTGTTAAATCACAATTCAAAAGCAATGTCTGATTTCCATTTGTTCATTTTTTTTTTTTTTTTTTTTTTTTTTGAAATTGTTACTTTTATTAGATTACCACCACTTTGGCTTGTATTTCATGACAAAGGGGTACCAACAATTTTGTCCGTGTGTGCATATGTTTCGTTACATCAATTTCTCTCTGACTGCGTCAGCGTTTGTGGAGTGGCCTTGGTAATACCTGAGTATGTGAACCGATACCACAGAATGTTGTTTTGGAGAATATGCCATCGCGGTGTGTAGGCGGTTTTTAGACTTGGAATTGATTCCGGTGGCCTGCTCACTTTAATTTGTGGACTTGGGCTAGGGGAGAATGTCTTTTGACTCTTGTGATGAATGAGAGGGCGATTGCAGCGGAGTAGATGCGACTGTCCCCGCCTGTTCCCCCCTCCCCCCTACCCCACCCCCCAGCTTGTGATTTATGTGTTTCGCTATGATTTAATTTCTCACTGTGGGAGTCAAAGAGGCACCAAAATAAGAACTTTTAATTCCTCCGCAGCCTGAGCATTTATGTCAACATATGGGAATGAGGGTATTAAAAAAAAAAGCACAAGGAGGAAGGTTAATTGGAGCATCGTTTTTTTCTTTTCCTTGTCACTGTCCAATCATAAGGTTCAGTGCAGTTCACGTTCATTTATATCTCTGCAAAATAATATTTTTCGGGAGTTTCAGGTTTAGGGCCACACTGCTTTTACATGAAAGTGTATATTTGCTTGACACGAACAAAAAAAATGGAATTGCTGTTATGGGCAGCTAAGGCAGCACTGCTTTGTAAAGAAACCTTAACACAAAAAAGAACGTCAGAAAAAGATGCAAGGAAAGGTCACCAATGGATGAAAATGAAAAGTACCCCATTTAAGTAGATGCATCAACTCTTTCATTTGGATTCGTGGTTTATTTTCTTTATTTTAGCGTCAGCCTAACCTATAAACCAAAATATGTACTTGTAATAAATCTGATATTGTTTATAGTATAGTACAGATTAATTATTACACTTCGTTCTTTCTCATAATATTTTGGCATATCCAAATAACGGCAGGACTTTTTTTATTACAATTTTATTTATGTAAAATAAGACAAAGTAAGTTTGGGGCACCTTGGCTTCAAACCATCCATCATCATGAAGTGCTGTAAAACCTTCTTCTGAGCCTCTTTTTAATTCAAGTAAACTTCATTAGCGACTGCTTTGCTTTGATGTTGCCGCACTGGGAATGCGACCAAAGAGTGAGCCCGACCGACTGTTGTCGTCTTTCAGGATGTGGTCAATTCTCACGCGGGCCTGGCTTTTCTGAAGGAAGCAGCGGACTTTCACTCCCGATACATCACCACGGTGCAGTGCCATAAAACATCGCATGTGCATCGCCTTGCCTTGATGTTGACGTTGAGCGTTTCCGTGCTTACAGGTGATCCAAAGGATATTTTACACCGTCAACCGCTCGTGGAATGGAAAAATCAGTTGTTGTGAACTCCGGAAAAGTAACTTCCTTCAGGTAGGTCAACACATGAGGCTTTCTGAATTCTCTGATGGGATACTAATTCTGTGTGTGCTTGTTTTTCTTTTTGGGGGTCAGAATGTGGCACTGCTCGAGCAAGAAGACGATGTGAACCAGTTGACAGAGTTCTTTTCCTACGAGCACTTCTACGTCATCTACTGCAAGTTCTGGGAGTTGGACACCGATCACGACCTGTACATCGACCCCAAGGACTTGGCGCAGCACAACGACCAAGGTGCTCAAGCCACACACAAGATGGCCGATCGGCAGTCATGTAGCAAGACTGGCGTCCGCTCATTGTTTGTTTGTTCCCCCCAGCCATCTCCCAAAAGATGATTGAGAGGATATTCTCAGGAACAGTCACAAGGTAAACACTTAGATGAAAAATACACTTTGTTTTACAACTATATTTGAAAATTTCGAATTTTTTTTTTCTGAGACTAAAAATGTCCCCTCATATTTTTTTCATGGAATAAAACAACTTCATTCTTACATGACATTGTCATCTTTAAAAAAAGAATGAAAACAACTTTAACCACATTTTGTTTGTAAAAAAATTTCATAAGAGTGACTATTTTTTTTAAGAAAGAAAAAAATCTGACTTGATTTCTCCCGGTATTGTGGCATTGAGGGACCGGCGCGTGTTCAAGGAAGGCCGCTTGAGCTACGCGGACTTCGTCTGGTTCCTCATCTCCGAGGAGGACAAGAAGACGGAAACCAGGTATTTGTACGCCTCCATTGTCGGATTTCAAAACGAGAGCCACCACCTTGACCATCATTTTGCGCTCCCAGTATAGAGTACTGGTTCCGTTGCATGGACCTGGACGGCGACGGCGTGCTGAGCATGTACGAGATGGAGTACTTCTATGAGGAGCAGTGTCAGAAGCTGGAGAGCATGGCCATCGAACCGCTGCCCTTCGAGGACTGCCTCTGCCAGATGCTCGACCTCGTCAAGCCTCGGGTCGAAGGTCGGTCATCCTTTACTTGGCCCGCGTGAAGTTCGGTGTTTTTTTTTTTTTTTTTTTTTTTTTTTTTTTCCAGGTTTGATTGACAACTTGTCCACAACTGCTGGTGTCATTCGCAGACACGCATGCACACACAGGTGTAGTTAGCACGGGGCAATCCTGCTGATTCTTAAACTCTAAACTGGACTCATAGAGCACTTTAAAACAACCACCGCTGCATCCAAAGTGCTGTACATGGAGCAAAAACAATTCATACAACAATAAACAATAAATAACAAAGACGGTGGAAAGCACAAAAACAGTCAAACTAAAAATCTGGTCTCATGCTGAGTCAAAAGCCAAAGAATAAAAACGAGTTTTAAGACGAGTTTTAAAGATGGGCAGTGAGGAGGGGGGCTTGCCTAACGTTCAGCGGGAGGTCATTCCAAAGAGAGAGACCAGCAACGGAAAAGGCTCGATCCTCTCAGAGCCTCCGCTTAGTTCTCGGGACCTCTAATAGTATTCGTTCTGCAGACCTGAGGCACCGGGCAGATGCGCTCAGAGAGGTGAGGTGCGGACAGTGAAAACAAATAATAGGATCTTAAAAAGAACTCTAAAATGTATGGGGGAGTCCATGGAGAGATGCCAGAGTAGGAGTTATGTGCTTCCTCTTATGAGTACCAGTCAAGAGGTGAGCCGGGTAATTCTGGACTGGAATATAATAAGTAGATTTTTATGATTGTAAATAGCCTCAAATCTTCGTAAATTAACATTGTAAAACTATCCATCCATCCATCTTCTACCGCTTATTGCGGGGGCAACAGCCTTAGCAGGGAAGCCCAGACATCCCTCTCCCCAGCCACTTGTTCCAGCTCTTCCCGGGGGATCCCAAGGCGTTCCCAAGCCAGCTGAGAGACATAGTCTCTCCAGCGTGTCCTGGGTCATCCCCTGGGCTTCCTGCCGGTGGGACATGCCCGGAACACCTCACCAGGGAGGCGTCCAGGAGGCATCCTAATCAGATGCCCGAGCCACCTCATCTGGCTCCTCTCGATGTGAAGGAGAAGCGGCTCGACTAGATCGACCGGTAAATTGAGAGCTTCACCTTTTGGCTCAGTTCCTTCTTCACCATGACAGTCCGATACAAAGTCCGCATCACAGCAGACGCTGCACCGATCCGCCTGTCAATCTCCCGCTCCTTTCTGCCCTCGCTCGTGAACAAGACCCAAGATACTTAAACTCCTCCACTTGGAGCAAGATCTCCTCCCCGACCCAGAGAGGGCACTCCACCCCATTTCCATTGCAAAACTAATCATTTACCAAATAACTCTTGTGGTAACAACATCACACAATCACAATAGCAAAACCAACAGAAGAGTGATGCATGTCGTAAATGAACTGTAGCGGCTTTGGACAACAAGGAACATTGGGAAGTTGGACTTGAATCGAACTTGCCTTTAGCTTGAGGGTGACTTTACTCCAATTAGCCTCTGAATTTGACGCTGATGTGGATGATGACGGCAGGTAAAATCACGCTGCGGGACCTGAAGAGGTGCAAGCTGTCGCACATCTTCTTTGACACCTTCTTCAACATTGAGAAGTACCTGGACCACGAGCAGCGGGACCCCTTCTCCGTCATTAGGGTGAGCGTGCGGCACACACGTCACACGCCGCTCTCGCGCCCCTGTTCACCGTCCGTGTCTGACAGGAAGTGGAGACGGATGGACAGGAAGTAACCGACTGGGAGCGATACGCTGCGGAGGAGTACGACATCCTGGTGGCGGAAGAGGCTGCCGGGAATCACTGCGACGATGACGTGTAAGATCACGCTTAATGCTCGCAACGCACCGCGAGCTACACTTGCACAAGCACCTGAGCTGGATCCAAAATTTGCTACACAAGCAGGAGTAGAATAGAATAGATTATTATGACCACATGTTTGTGGGAAAAAATGGATCCTATACATACAGTATATGTTTAAGATGAAAACAATTGAGTGGTCCTTACTCGGAGTCAGCTGATGGCTGATGAGTTTGTGTGGAACTTTAGGACCACCACTAAGCTCTGAAGGCGGACCACCTCCCAGCAGGTAAGACCGTCACAGTACCGGAAAGAACCAAACGTTCTCTCCTCTTTCCTTCTCTCTGAACCTGTCTGGTTCGAAAACCACCCCGACAACATGGGAGCAAAACCTGGTTTTTGTTTTCAGATATTCTCCTGTACTTCCCCACCTTCGTGTTCTTCTCCTTTGTCTTCTCCACTTACACACTCGTCTTTTTTTTTTGGGAGTGGGGGGTAGTCTACATTCTGCGTGACACAAATGTGCATCCCCACTTCCACTTCATATCATGAGTGGGAAAAAAATCAAGAAAAATGTTGTGCTATAGTCCTAATGTGAAAATAAAAATGAGTAAAGTTGTAATCTGACACAAATGTTGACGTATCACAAGAAAAGTAGGAATATTCCAAAAGTGGAATTTTACAAGATAAACGTAAAACTTTGAGAATTATTAAAAAATAAAATAATTCTAAAATGTTGGGAATAAAGTTTGACTAATTATACCAGCACAAGTGGTAATACGAGAATATAAACACTTATATACAAACACTGCGAGAATTCAGTAATTTTGTTAGAGTAAAAGGGGAAAAACATTTTGTTGAAAATGAATTTGTAATTTTACAATTCTGTAATTTAAAAAAAAATCAGGACAATATCTAAATATTTATGTGAATAAATTAAAAAGTAATAAAGAGTATAAGAAATGTGTGATTTTACAAGTATAAAGTCAGAATAACATCGTCCCCCCCAAAAAAAGCTAACATAATAAAAAGAAAGGCTAAACTATCAGAAAAAGTCCGTTTTATGCTGATCATAGTAAAAAGAAAATTAAATTGTATTTTTTAATGGCTAAAAAAGAACGATCATGACAAAAGTGTAAATTATGGAAATAGTCTTTACAATGCAATTAAAAATAAAATGCTAGTTGTATAAAGTTGCTGGTATATAAAGAGAATAAATTTGTAGTTTAACATGACAATAAAATAGAAATATAGAAATCGTCCTGATTATGAGGAAGAAAAGTTGTTGTGTTCAACTTTGTTGAGATTGTGAATGGTGAGGCTAATTTCATGAGAATATGCTTGACCAACCTTGATTCAAATGTAACACGGAGAATGGAGTCTGCATCACTCTCAGTCCACGCACGTTTTTGTCCTTCGCTCGGCTCGCCTTTGTTGTTATTTGTCTTAATTACTTTGGCGAAGCTTGTGATGTTTCACCAGTTAAGTGTTCCACGTAGGCAGAATAGCTCCACCTGTTGCTTTGGCGTGCACATGACAGCCTGTTAATTTCAACCAAGATCGGGTTAGAAAAATACATGTGGACTAAGACTGCCCTCTTGTGGCAGCATAGGCACATGACATGAATATTTTTCCCTAAGGACGATTATGTGTTCAGGTACGAAACCCCGCTGAGTCCTTTGGAAGCGCACATCTCGCCTGATCTGAGCCTGACGAAAAGACACTTCTTCCAGATACCCTCGCCGCATTGCAACCTAGACCTGGATGGCTACGAGTACGAGGACGACTTTGAATGAGCAAGCGCCGCGCCGCGCCCCCAATAAACGAGTCTTGATGTGCTCACAAGCAACTAACGGACCGCCAACTGCGGCTTCTTCTTGCCACTTTTGACTTTTTACACTTATGACCCGATGAAGAAGTTGCAGTGTCATCACCGACTTGACTCTCAACCTTTGTCGCCCATCCATTGGCTCACCTTACATTCCAGTGATCAAACCGGAAGCTTCTGTACAACATGTCAAATTATTACATTGGACACTGTGTGCGTGTGTGTGTGTGTGTGTGTGTTGTGCGTTGTGCGTGAGATGGGTCTTGTAATTTATTAGATGAATTTATAAGTAAATATATATATTAATGTGTAAATAATGTTTGCTGTGATGTAAATGATTTGGGCAAGTTTGAAGGACAGCGTTTTCTATGTAAGAAAGTTAATAAAGTCTCAGTCATTGACTACAAGCATACTTGTTTTTTGTTTTTTATTTAAATATGATACCATTAATTATGTAAGCACCCACCAGGAGCAATGGTGTGCAGGAAAGATAACACAGTAGGCCCCTCAAAATAGGGGAAAGAGGCCTGCTGGCCTGCAAATAGTGAAAATTGTAAAAAAAAAAAAAACCTTTTTGTTTTCACACCCCAAAACTCTTGAATAAGTATCTGCAATAAGCGTTTTCCCCGAGAAATTGGGGTTCGCTCTCAAAAATAAAAAAGCAAATTCAAAATATTTTATATTATTTGAATAAAATCTGCAAATTGATGAATCTGTAGGAGCTGAATCATGCGTATGCGGGGGTCCACTGCAGAGTGAATCACACTTGACAAATATACTCTATAGCAAATGCAAGTTTACAAAAAAGTGCAATATGTGCATGCGGAACTAAGATTCAGGGTGATAAGCTGGTAGTTGCCATCGTTAAAATGTTTGTTTTACTGGTGAAAATGTGATTGATAATGCACCTTTTTAACAGTATTGCCGAGTACTGAGCCCTGTGGTACACCACTAAACTGGAAATTGAATTGGTCTTGCTCAACTTCAAATGGAGTTGGATAGGACCACACGGAGGTTTGGGGGACCGTGGGAAAACAAAAGTTGTGATTAATAGATTTCTTTTAGGAGGATTTCGGCGTCGTATTAGAAGAAGAAATGTGGAATTTTTACGAGGAAAGTCGATTAAAAAAATTTATTTCAAGAATAAAGTTACAGGTTTTACGGAAATGTTATTTCTCAAGGGGAAAATCAAAGTAATGATGGTTTTGTTTTAAAAAAAAGTCTCAGCATTGTATTGTAATTTGATGAGGAAAAGTGTAAGCTTAAAGAATAATTGGTTAAGAGTTTTATTTTGAAGAAAAAAAACACCGTACTATTACAAGACTTAAGTTGTAATTGTGGGGAGGAAATTGTACATGAAAGAATAATGTATATTCATCTGATGAGAATTATATTTTCGGGGAAAAAAATTCCAAAAATAAGTTCAGGAGTCAGAATTGCAAGAATAAATTAGAAATAAATAAAATTGCAATTTTACAAACAAGTCATACAACAAGAACAGTCTCAATTTATCAAGCAAAATATTGCAACATTTATTTACAAGTCTTTTAATATTAGGTATTTCATTTAAAAAATCTTATTTAATTACAAGATTTTAAAAATGTGTGAAAAGGCACAGAAAAAAACTGAAATATTATTTCCCCCCCATTAAACGATCACTTTATTATTACTTTATTCTTCATAACAGATTATTATTATATTTGTCAAGTGTGGCATTCACGTTACACGTAAAATCAAAATTGATGTGGACAATATCATCTTGGGACATGTGGTAGTTGCACCTTCTGGAAGTGAAAATGAACATATAGTACATATGCAGGAGCATCTGCAGCTATGTATACAGTAGATACGGGAAAGCACTTCTATTAAATACGATGTACAGTAAGTGTAAAAATATACCATACGGTACATTCCACGCAAATACTAAAACTGTTTCGTTCAGATTTTAAATGAGAGCACCAAAACCTTGTCAGAGCTCAACTTCTACAGCATCTTCATCGGCATGGTCGTCATCATCACCTGCCTCAGTGTTGACTGTTCCTTGACTTGGGGGTCTTTTCACAAGATGTTCCTGCGCATGGGTGGTCTTGTTGCTGAGTATCACAGGAAGTAACAGGTAAGATCCAAATTGTGAAAAGTTGAGGGGGAAAAAAAAATGAACATACAAGTTCCCGATCCTCACCATGGGCTTGATCGGTGAACTTTTCCAACTTGGGGCTCAGTGGGACTCAGTGGTCCTAAAGACTTGGAACCTGGGGGGTAGGAGGGGGGCCAGGCATGAATATCAGGTCTAAGAATCATCCCAAAATGTCATCTGGTCAGTCCACCTTCTAGTTTGGTCTTTGAGCGTCCAGGCTGCTTCCTGTCCGAGCTGCCGTGGGAGGCGGCATCGTCTCCTTCGGCCAAGAGGGAGCCGCGGTAGAAGACGAGTGGCTGCCAGCGCTCCTCCCTGAGGTCCGCTACTTGATCTGAGGTATGCTTCTGTAAGTAAGCTAACCTGCATGCGCACACGCACACAGAATAGGTTAAAATCTGTGATCAAGGGGGGACGGTAGAAGACGAGTGGCTGCCAGCGCTCCTCCCTGAGGTCCGCTACTTGATCTGAGGTATGCTTCTGTAAGTAAGCTAACCTGCATGCGCACACGCACACAGAATAGGTTAAAATCTGTGATCAAGGGGGGACCTAAAAAAAAAAAAAAAAAAAGACTTGATAAAACTTTTACCCATCCCACATCGTTTCTCACTTTTCCCCAGATGTTTTTGGGAGTGTTTGTCCCCCTGGGGCATTAAGGTCAGGGGATGTCGCAAATACTTGCCAACTGTGCGCTCGTGAAGCCCTTTGAGACTGTTTGTGATTGAGGGCGATGTAAATAAATGTGACTTGAGTTGACTAATGTTTGTAATTTGTCATGTGTATAAGAAACTCCTCAAATAAGAAACTCCTCAATTTACTTCAAATTAGGACCTTGGCACAAGACGGCAAATAAGCACTATATTTGTCTTCATGAAAATCCTCAACTTACGTCACCCTAGTTCCATGGCACAGGACTGCAGCAAAGCACCACTCTTGTCTTAATGAAACTTACTTCAACATAGTTCCTTTGCACCAGATTGTGACACTCATTTTATCTTCATGAAACTCCTGAATTTACTTCATAGTTTCCTTGGCACAAGATGACAGCAAAGCACTACTTTTGTCTTTATGAAACTCCTTAACAGTTCCTTGGAACAAGACTGCAGCAAAGCACTACTTTTGTCTTAATAAAACACCTCAATTTACTTGAACAGTTTCTTGGCACAAGATGGTGGATAAGCACAACTTTTGTCTGTTTGTTGACACGTGATATCAGCAAAGCACTACTTATATCTTAATGAAACTCCTTCACTTACTCCAACAGTTTCTTGACACATGATGACAGCAACGCGCTACTTATATGTTAATGAAACTCTTCAACTTACCTAAACAGTTCAGGGGCATAAGATCGTGGCAAAGTGCTGCTCTTGTATCAATGAAACTCCTCAGCTTACTACAACATAGTTCCTTGCCACAAGATGGTGGCAAAACGCTACTTTTGTCTATTATGTACAGCATTTTGACAATATTGCACAGGAACACTCACACTGTCCTCTTGTCCGGTTTGAGTAGCTTGCTGGAGAACTCGGCCAGGATGCTCAAGTAGGACAGGAACGTAGGTGTGGAACTTTCAAAGTCCCGGAAGGCAAATTCGATGCCACTCCTGCAAAATGTAACGCACACACTTCAGTCACAAGAAGTCACATTGCAGACAGGCAAGTCCGATCGCCGACCTGTGGATGAGGACGAGGCACTGGCGAAACTTGACGAGATCACCAAAAGTGAGGGCGAAGCGTTTGGCCAGCTCCTTGATGCTGCTGAAAGTCTGAACTCCCTGCTGGACGTGAGGCAATCCTCCAGCCTCCTGCTCATGCTTCAGACGCACAAACAGCTAGTCAGGACACAAGAGAAAACAGTAAATGCATCTTCAGTCATTCATAGTTAAGTTTTTGAATGTGCACTTACCTGCTGTAAAGAGAGCACCAGCGTACGAGTGCTCTCGAACTTATCAATAAGTCTGCTCCTGTGTATGGTTTCCTTGATGATGTCACCTAAGTCGTTCTGATACTGAAGCACAAGGTTACAACACTCCAACATAGCAAGAAGAAAAGAGGAACCATTACGATCTGTCTTATTCGTTTTAATGGATGATTTAATGACAATATACCTTGACATAGAAGGTAAAAATGTCCGCTGCCATACTCATCTCCAGCACGCCGTGTAGGATGAGTTTGCAGTAGGCAGCCAGCATGCTTCTCCTTCTGTGAAGCTCCTCCATCTTGTCCTCCTCGGAGTGCCGGCAGGCTGAGTGGGACCACGTCGAGGAGAAGAGATGTTAAAAATGATGACAAAAGTTCTCACACTCAAGAGTGAAGTGTGCAGGGGCTGCCACCTGATATGTTGTTGCCTCTAAAATAGAAACTGAGGGAATGAAACGAGATCCAACCGACGCCTCCGTAGTTATTTTTTATTGCTATTGTGACCACAGAGCTAAAACAATTTTCAAATAAATCAGCGTTTTCTGAAGTGTACTCATGCCCAAAGTCTCAACAGAAATTGAAGTGGAGTGATGGGAACCACTGCGTGACACCAAGATCAGAACACTCCGTAACAAACCTCCAATTGTCTCTCCAAGTCCAGGTTCCATCTAGTTTTATAAAAGACATACGATTGTGACTTTAGCAAATATGCTATTAGGCTAACAACATGTACCTATTACAGGGTTCCCATGCTTCCACTTGCTTTTTATTTATGGACCTTTTAAGGACTTTTGAGGGCGAATTTAGCCATTTTTGAAGGACTTTTTCTCCATTCAGCAGAGGATTCACGGTGGATTTAATGAACAGAAAGCCACATATCACTGAGCTGGTGTTCAAATCATTGCTGCCAAAGGAAGGGCACATCTTTATTTTTCGGGGCAATCAGCTAACCCTTCTTTTGACATACTTGTCAAATTGGCCCGAAATGAACCGAAGTGATCACGTGATCATCATCGGAACTGATCGGAGACGGCGGAAAAAGCAGAGCGGGAACCAGGAAGGCAGGTAGCCCGACAGCAGAGTTTGAGGGGAAGGGCGCCAGGCACATTTTCCGACAAAACTATTAATTGGAAGGTTGGGGAAAATGAAATGAACACCACAGGTTAATTTGTTACTATATAAACATGGTCGTTTTTTTTCGCACAAAAACGCCTTACTATACATGGTCGTTTTTTTCGACCCAAAACGCCTTACTATACATGGTCGTTTTTTTCGACCCAAAACGCCTCACTATACATGGTCGTTTTTTTCGCACAAAAAGGCCTTACTATACATGGTCGTTTTTTTTCGGCCCAAAACGCCTTACTATACATGGTCGGGTTTTTTTCGGCACAAAATGCCTTACTATGCATGGTCGTTTTTTTCGGCACAAAACGCCTTACTATACATCTTCATTTTGTTCGGCCAAAAACGCCTTACGATACATGGTCGTTTTTTTTGGCAAAAACGCCTTACTATACATGGTCATTTTTTTTCGACTAAAAATTCCTTACTAGACATAGTCAATTTTTTTCGGCCAAAAACGCCTGACTGTACATGGTCAGTTTTTTCGGCCCAATACGCCTTACTATACATGGTCAATACGCCTTACTATACATGGTCAATACGCCTTACTATACATGGTCAATACGCCTTACTATACATGGTCAATACGCCTTACTATACATGGTCAATACGCCTTACTATACATGGTCAATACGCCTTACTATACATGGTCAATACGCCTTACTATACATGGTCAATACGCCTTACTATACATGGTCAATACGCCTTACTATACATGGTCAATACGCCTTACTATACATGGTCAATACGCCTTACTATACATGGTCAATACGCCTTACTATACATGGTCAATACGCCTTACTATACATGGTCAATACGCCTTACTATACATGGTCAATACGCCTTACTATACATGGTCAATACGCCTTACTATACATGGTCAATACGCCTTACTATACATGGTCAATACGCCTTACTATACATGGTCAATACGCCTTACTATACATGGTCAATACGCCTTACTATACATGGTCAATACGCCTTACTATACATGGTCAATACGCCTTACTATACATGGTCAATACGCCTTACTATACATGGTCAATACGCCTTACTATACATGGTCAATACGCCTTACTATACATGGTCATTTTTATTCGGCTAAAAATGCCCTACGAGACATGGTCGTTTTTTTTCGGCAAAAAAACGCCTGACTATACATGGTCGTTTTTTTCGGCCCAATACGCCTTACTCTACATGATCGTTTTTTTCCCGCCAAAAACGCCTTACTGTACATGGTCGGTTTTCTTCAGCCAGAAAAAGCCTGACTACATGGTCGTTTTATTCAGCCAAAAAGGCCTGACTATACATGGTCGTTTTTTTTTCGGCCCAATACGCCTTACTATACATGGTCGTTTTTTTCGGCCAAAAACGCCTTACTATACATGGTCGTTTTTTTCGGCCAAAAACGCCTTACTATACATGGTCGTTTTTTTCGGCCAAAAACGCCTTACTCTACATGGTCATTTTTTTCCCGCCAAAAACGCCTGACTAAACATGGTGGTTTTTTTTCGGCCAAAAATGCCTTCTATACATGGTCGTTTTTTTTTTCGGCCAAAAATGCATTACTATACAAGGACGTTTTTTTCCCCGCCAAAAACGCCTTACGAAACATGGTTGTTTTTTTCGACCCAAAATGCCTTACTAGACACGGTCGTTTTTTTTTTCCGGCCAAAAACGCCTTCCTAGACATGGTCGTTTTTTTCGGCACAAAACGCCTTACTATGCATGGTCGTTTTTTTGTCTCAAAACGCCTGACTAGACATGGTCATTTTTTTCGGCTAAAAACCCCTTATTTTTTTTCGGCCAAAAACGCCTGACTATACGTGGTCGTTTTTTTTGAGCACAAAACGCCTTACTATACATGGTCGGTTTTTTTTGCCCAAAAACGCCTTACTATACATGGTCGTTTTTTTCAGCACAAAACGCCTTACTATACATGGTCGTTTTTTTCGGCAAAAAACGCCTTACTATACATGGTCGTTTTTTTCGGCCAAAAACGCCTTTCGATTCATGGTCGTTTTTTTCAGCACAAAACGCCTTACGATACATGGTTGTTTGGCTGTTTATTTCGACACAAAACGCCTTACTATACATGGTCATTTTTTTCCGTACAAAACGCCGACGATACATGGTCATTTTTTTCGGCTAAAAATGCCTTACTATACATGGTCGTTTTTTTCGGCCAAAAACGCCTTACTATACATGGTGGTTTTTTTTCCCGCACAAAACGCCTTACTATACATGGTCGTTTTTTTTTTGTTGCCAAAAACGCCTTACTATACATGGTCGTTTTTTTCGGCATGAAACGCCTTACTTTACATGGTCGTTTTTTTCGGCCAAAAATGCCTTCCTAAACATGGTCGTTTTTTTTCGGCCAAAAACGCCTGACTATACGTGGTCGTTTTTTTTGAGCACAAAACGCCTTACTATACATGGTCGGTTTTTTTTGCCCAAAAACGCCTTACTATACATGGTCGTTTTTTTCGGGACAAAACGCCTTACTATACATGGTCGTTTTTTTTCCCGCACAAAACACCTTACTATACATGGTCGGTTTTTTTCGGCTAAAAATGCCTTACTATACATGGTTGTTTTTTTGGGCCAAAAACGCCTTACTTTACATGGTCGTTTTTTTTCGGCCATAAATGCCTTCCTATACATGGTCGTTTTTTTTCAGCACAAAACGCCTTACGTGGTCGTTTTATTGGGCACAAAATGCCTTACTATACATGGTCGTTGTTTTCGGTGAAAAAAATGCCTTCCTAAACATGGTCGTTATTTTCGGCTAAAAACGCCTTACTATACATGGTCGTTTTTTTGGGCTAAAAATGCCATGGTCCTTTTTTTCGGCTAAAAACGCCTTGCTATACAACGTCGTTTTTTGGGGTTTGAAAACGCCTTACTATACATGGTTGTTTTTTTGTGCTAAAAACACCTTGCTACATGGTCATTTTTTTTCGGCTAAAACCGGCTTACTATCCATGGTCATTTTTTTGTGCTGTAAAAAACGCCTTACTATACATGGTCTTTTTTTTGTTGTGAAAAATGCCGTCTGTCCTTAAAAAACTACTTTACAAAAAACCCTTACTATCCATGCGCTCACATTTCAAAAAATGGTCTTATATAGGCACAATGTAAAACGTTCATGACCTGCCTGGTAGTCAAATGGTTAGTCCGTCAGCGTTGCATTGAGGAGGTGCAGGGTTCGAATCCAGCTCCGTCCTTCCTCTGTGTTCTCAAAAATGTGTGTGGCCATGCATTTTCTGATCCTTTTTTCTGCTCACACTCACACTCACACCTACGGACAATGTAAAGTGTTTGTTCATCACCTGACTGGTAGTTGAATGGTTAGCGCGTTGGCGTTGCACTGCGGAGGTGCAGGGTTTGATTTCCGCTCCAGCCATCCTGTGTGTTCTCAAAAACATGCATGGCTATTCATTTTTTGATCCTCTACTTCGCGCTCACACTCACACCAAGGAACAATACAGAGCATTCAGTCCCCGCCTGGTAGTCGAATGGTTAGTGCATAGGTGTTGCGCTGCGGACGTGCAGGGTTCAATTCCTGGCTCTGGCTGTTCGGTGTGAGGTTGCAAGTTCGACCTGTACCTGTGCAGGTTTCCAAAAACATGTGGCCATCTGTTTTCTTATCCTCTACGCGCGCACACTGACACCTTGGGACAATGTCGACTGCAGGGTTCCCACTCTTCCACTTGCTTTTTCTATATGGACCTTTTAAGGACTTTTGAGGGCTAATTTAGCGATTTTTAAGGACTTTTTCTCCATTCAGCGGGGATTCACGGTGGATTTCATGAACAGAAAGCCACATAGGGGAAGGGTGGGGAAAATGACATACACAAATGAAATCAACACCACAGGTTAATTTTTAAGGATTTTTATTGATTTTAGAAGCTTTCCCTGAAAATTAAGGATGATTAAAACATAATTTTACAGGTTATTTTTTTATGGATTTTTATTAACTTTAGGGACGCGTGGGAACCCTGTAAAAAGCAAAGTGTGGCGAGCCTCTGTCATGGAAATCCCCATATACAGTGAATAGGCAATCATTCCCAACAGCCTCTCAAAAATATCCACAGTGCTTCTTTTTATTGTCAACCATTATTGTTGAAATAATAATAATTATTATTATTATTATCATTATTATTATTATACTATAATATTGCTACTGTACAGCAGCCAGGGCAATCCACTTCTTTTTTGACAATCATGTCATGTTCTTTGCAGTTCATCAACAACAAATTAACTACAGGAGGTAAATGTGGTGCTTCAAAAATCTTATTTCCAGACAAGAAAGTTTTTCCACTGCAGTGAGTTCATATATGTGGGGCGGCCAGTTGTCTTGTGTGCGGATGTGAGATGCCGTCTGTATTTTCTTTTCACATAGACTGTCTCATTCATCGTGTTCAGCCACGTTACCCAAAAACTATCTAGCGACTTTTATGCTACTGTATCAAAACGTGCTCATCGCTTCGAGAACTTTGTGAACTGCAGGTAAAACCCCAAAAAAGGCTAATTCAGTTAACGCTAATAATAGAAAAATAGTCTCCAAATGTGTTGCTGTTGTTGCTGCTCACTAGTTCATGTTCATCCATGTCACTGCCGTCCCAGTGCTTTCACCCTCTAAGACCCCAAGATGTCACTCAATCATGAGCGCAACAGTGGTTGACTTTACCGCTAATTCCATCATGTCGACCTCTGCGTTGGAAAAATTCAGGAGATAGCAAGGATGTTTCTAGACCTCCTGAAAGCCTCAGGCAAGAAAGACCATGGAGAGTTCCCCAAAAAACAATAACAAACCTGTTAGTTGCCGGTCCCGACATGTCTATGGGAGTTTCCAGTTGTGTTGATGACATGAAGCAACATGAGCTATCTCTGTGGGCCCACTTCTAACTACCCATCAGCCAACAATCATTAGTCAGGGGCCCAATGCAGGGAGATTCTCAACACCTTCTCGCTTAAGTGTCCAAAACAGTGCCATTGTTTTGTTGTGGGCCAATATCAGCAATCCTAATGCCCCCTTTGGCTTGGGGGGGGCAGGCAATTGCCCAGGTTGCCTGCTCTTTTGCTGCGTTTTTGCTCGCAAGGCAAGGTGCCACAGTATTTGTACTTTATCCTTTCCTCCACTTGCTCGGGGAGGCAACAACGGGGCACGCCTCGACACAATGGTTTCAGCAGGTGCAACATCAAACATAAGACGAGAGGATCTTTGCGACGACAGCATGTGGCTTCAATCGGCAGCGAGGCCAATAAAACGAGCGAGGAGGTGAGCCAGAGTTGATTGGATTTTTCTCACGGAAAAAAAGAGAGACTGAAAACACTTGATGCTTTCGCCTCACCATGATCTCTCACACAAGAACAAGTGTCCATAAAAGCCAAAGTGCTCGCAGGCTAATCCCATAAAACAACAGCTTTTTAGGAGCAATAATAGCCCCCTTGTGCTCCCTCCCCTCTGTGTTGCTTTGAACATTGAAAAGCTTCCCACTGGACCCCTTATTGACTCGCCTGCTCTCTCCACCATATTTGGATGTGATAGTTCATTCAGTGTTATCCAGTTATTAAAAACCACTGAAGGAATTTAACTCCTACCTCCTTTTGAGATTTACAAGCCAACGCTGTTTTCCTCATCTTAAAATATCCACACCAAAATATCACACAAACTTTAGATGCTTGGCGATATTTCCGTAACAAAAGAAACATGGTTTCACTCTACTTTTGCACTTGTGGAGAAATGAATTGCACTCTGTGTTTAATGTCGCCATACGACTTAAAGACAGAGTGAGTGCGCCACCTGGTGTGCGAGATGTGTCCTACACCATAGCCTCGTTTTCAACAACTTTTACTGTTCATTTCAAAATGTTATTTGGACTTGTTCCACAGGAAAATATTTTTAAAGATTCATACTTTTAATATGAATTTTATTGTCGGAGTTTTTTAAAGTGCTGTCTTGTTATTCTTTGGTCTCATTATAATTTATAATAGAGAAGTTGTACAGAGAAAATGTTTATGCATGTACAGTATCATAAATAATTATTATTCTCTTATAATAGTCCATGACTTTTATTTTGGTTATTCTGCCCCCAAAAATATCAATGAACTATTGTATTTCAATTTAAAAATAGATCTGTTTTTTTAGAAGATTTAATAGATTTATTGTCACGAGCTGCCCCTAACATCAATTCTATTTTTACATATGCACAGATTTTTCTTGTATAGACTGATTCAGACACATTCAACCATGCATAACCATATAAATATACCGTATATTAATACACTTTCCCATGCTTGAAGGGGTTTCGTCCAGGTACTCGGGCTCTCTCCCACATCCCAAATCATGCATATTAAGTTGATTGAAGATTCTAACTCGTCCATGGGTATGACTGTGAATGTTTCTTTGTCTATACTGGACGTCCCCTATGATTTACCGCTCACCTAAAGTTGGAATAATTTGTTTGCAATATAGTGTAGTTCGACTCACTCTGTGACTAAATAAGGAGCAATGCTGTGTTAAAGGTCCCAGTGTACCATAATCGATTTTTCCCATTGCTTTATGCATAACATCGGTAAAAATTGACTCTGTGACATGACATTTAGTAGACCAGGTGCTTTGTTCAACTGCATGCAACGAGCAGATTTCAATTTCACGCCACGTGACGTCAGATCGTGACTCATGGTTCAGGTATGTGCCCACTTCGTGATTGCTACACGCCCATTCAAGGCTGTAGTATTTGGACTTGACGTGTCATTCATTAGCTTTGAGTTGTTGCAGTTTTCTCGTCAGCTCGGTACAATTTATTGCTCCCCGGCATCCAAACTCCTCCTCGTCTCTCTCCTGAGGTTGACCACCATTAATAAAGCAACATTGTTCTTGTCGCTGTTGTTTATATGCACACACGGTTGATAAAGCAAAATGTTTCCTGCCATCTAAGAAGAGTGTTGAGCATCATGAAATGTCTTAAATTTTTCGGTCGATGAGAATTGTATTTTTCTGTCTTAAGGTTTACTCTTGAGAACCCAGCCGCTGGGGAGCAGTGCCCTCCCCTGGGGGCACACTGTTCCCCTGTGCCGGTACTTTGCTTAAGGTTTACTCTTGATCTCATCTTGACTTGGACTTGGACTTAGACCTTGAGTACTCAGTCTTGACATGGACTGGGACTTTGGTGACTCGTACTTGACTTGAACACGGTAAAGGTGGACTCTGGCCCATTCAATTTAGGAATGAAATGACCGATGTTGACAATATACCAGCGACTTGTGCAAAGCTAAAACTTTGCATCAGCTGCCAAACCACAGAGGACTTGAGGAGTAAACTAATTCAATGTATATTTGGAGGAACTTCAGAACATTTCAGAACCAGAATCGTGCTGTGTTTGGCACATAGAAAACTGCTGCTGAAATGGGATGGAATAAAACCCTAGTTGAATAAGTAAGCAATATGACATCCCTTTCTGTGTTTCACCGCTGTGGTTGAAGTCACTGGGCCGAGAACGACAACTATTCAACGTTCAACAAAGCTCTCACCTTTGCATTCGTGGTCACCATCTCGCCCAGCAAAGACGTTCTTGCACACAAAGTTCAACAGCGCCATCTGTAGTTTGGGCGTGGGCGTGTATGGCAGGGGGCTCCAGGAAGTGGGATGCCACACTTGTTGCTGGTAGGAGTGGGCAGTCAGGATGTCGGACACACCCAGGAATGCCTGAAATGAGAGGAAAAAGAGGGAGTTGATTGAGGAGTGAGTGGATTACTCTTCGTAAGAATGACACTTTGTACCTGCTGTCTGACGCTGTGATTGGAGTGGGAGAGACAACGATGACTTGCCTCACAGAACACACGCAACTGAAGCCTCAGGGACACAGCCTGGTCCTAATAAAACAGACAAAAACACATATTTGTGATAAACACTCATTACAACATTTAATAACAACACATATAAATTCAGCCTTTACGAAGACAAACAAGGCTTAGTTTGACTGTAATTTAAAAAAATGTTCATTATTGGAGTTCTATGCAGTGGTGATGAACTGCACCATGAGCTATTGTGTTTCTATTCTTAGGCTTATTTAGCTACAGAACTCCTCTTATAACCGATAACCACATCGGAACTGAGAATTATGAGCTTATTAATCACATTTCTCTGAACATTTGTGTATATTTTGCAATAACTCACCCTGGAGGTCATAATTTCACTGCTTGTGCTCAGTGACCAGAAAACACAGTAAGACAGACATTGTAACACTTCCTTTAACACCTGTCAGAAAAAAAGAAAATAATTGCTCTTTTCTTGCCGATTAATATCAACACTCATTTTCAAATATTTTAAATCTTAAAATCTCAAAGGTAACGTTAATAACCTGAGGTGGCGCCCCCTCCTGGCTGCCCTCTACCGGCAGAAGAGGCAAGAGCAGGTCGAACAGATTCCAGCCGGACAGATCGTGACAGCTGTCAGAACGCAGAAGCAATGTCAGTGGAAGATCAGAACGAGGATTCTATTTGTTTTGAACAACTTACTTGTGGAAAGCGCTGACTTTCTTCAGTGTGACAAAAAGGTCTCCAGTCTGCTCCTGATCAGCAGAGAAGATGGCCCCCTGAAGAATAGAGCTTTAATGTTTGCATGCAAGCTATTCCCGTCGAGCAAACATCTTGGACTGGTTATAGTAAAAAAAAAAACAAAAACAAAAACAAAAACAATAACAATAGGGTCCTTTTTATGGATGGGATGGAACTAACTGAAGTTCGAATGCTGCAAGGATGCGGAGAAAAAAACAATTACCTCCTGATTTGACAATTCATTAGGGTTCTTGCTCTGCCAACATGACAGAAATCTTTACAGTTTGAAGATTGGCCCTGTTGGAAACTCACCACGAGGGAGTTGGTCAGCAGGTCTTTCAGGTGGTCCACCCAACCCTGGACCATGGAATCTCTGACGGGCCGGGCCATGGAGCCCCAGGTGGTCTCCTCTCCACACAGACTAAGGAATGTGCGAGACGCCGCCTCCAGGACGGCGGCGTCTGAGTAGACCTCCAGAACTGCTCGAATTTCCGCTAACAGTCTGGAGACCAACTGAGGAGGGGGGGTCGGCATCCAAAATCAATGAATTGTGGAGCTTTATTAGATTTTTATGTTTCATTTCTGCGCAATGACAAAAATTAAAATTCTTTCAAATTTGATCGCACCCATCTGTCTAGTTAGCAGTGATTGGACAACGTGTGAAGGACCCCTGGAAACATTATCCAAAAACAGCTACATTAAATCAAAACAAGCAACTTCCTGTGCATGTTCAGGTATTTGTTAGCACATTTATTTTGTGGATCTACTCATGATAGACACCCCTACCAAATTTGAAGTTGCTAAATGAAACCGCCTTTGGGGGCTGAATTGACAAGTAAGCCTTGACACTGCTTGTGTAAATATCAACCATGCAGGTTTAATAAAAATTAATGTAGTTTTCCTCAATCCTGTTGACTGACAGACAAACCGACATGGGTGTAAACATCATTAAAACATCATGTATAACTTCATGACTTCACGAAGCGCAAAAACCTGCACAGACAGTGGGCCGGACTGCTGACCTGTGTGTTCTTGGCCTCGGGGCTCTCTGGCAGAAAGTACTGAGGAATCCTCATCAAGGAGGCAACAATATCCCAGCGACCTGAAAACTGAAAAAAAGTGGTCTTAGGTGTCATTCAATCATCATGACATCGAAAATTTACAATGATGACTGGCAGGCAGTTAAAGGCAAGGGATACCTTGGCTAGTAAGTGTGGAAGCACTGTGAGGAAATGCTGCGTCAGCTTTGAGCAGTCATCAACCTGAACTTTTTTTTCTCTGGAACTCAACATCTGGTAGCAAAGATAGACAAACGCATCAACATAATGATTCCATCTGCCTTCTCAAATTAAAACCAGTTTCCTGATTCAAATCGTTTTTGTTACACTCCGACAAAATCGCCGACCTTCTTTGCACCATTCCTCCCAGCCAGCACTGGTCCTTCCGATGCCTGACGCACAGAGGCTAACATGAGCTCCACTAGCACCGCTTCATCCTCCCTTGTGAGGCCTAAAAACAAGTGGTAGTCAATTTGCTTTAAACAAAAAAAAAAGAAGCTCCAACAAGACCAAGCAAATCCTCCCAACCTGTACCCAGCAAAGGACTGGGAAGGTCTTGCAACAGTAAAGACGTGATGGTGGGCCAGTCCTTTAGCAGAGCTCCACTGCAGTCCCATAGGCTGTCCACGAGGTAGACCACATGGTTGTGGAGCTGTAAACAGATGTGTTAGTAGTGTCGCAGACACGGACATGAATCGCAGGCATCTGAAATGAATGAGCATTTCACCTTAGAGTCACGGTGGAATTCCAGCAGGGCCTTGAGTCTAGTAAACGTTTGTTGTTTATGAGCCTCCTCTTGACTTCTCTCATCCTGATTGATAGCGGTAGCATCATCAATGCTGAGAACCCTTAAACAAACACAAAACATGTTCAGTTTGACTTAGCCAAACTAAAACCACTCAAGATGCTTCTCCCTTTATTTTAATTGTATTAACATTATTTTAATATATTTTATTTCATAAGGATTTTTAATATTTTAATTGCACTTTATTTTACATTGTTACCATTCCCATATACATACATATTGTACATAGATATCCTTTCAGCATTTCCCCATAGGATATTGTGAAGCGTCTTTTTTTTTTGTTTGTTTTTTTTTACCCAAAAGTGTCTACCTTAAGAAGAGCAGCTCCCCAGCTGTGACTGCAAGGGGGCGCTGAGAGGAATAAACAAGCTGAAGGAGAGGCTTGTAGTCATCTGCAGTGAGCACGTCTTCATGTGTTCTGAAGGGTTAGAGACAAGAGGGCAGCGCAACAATCACTATTATGAAAGGAAAAAGGCTAATTCGTTGACACAGATCTGGTGGCTTACTTGGAAATGAGCAGCAACAACTTCATCGTCTGCAAAGCCACTTCGTGGTCTTTGTCCAGCGTCATAGAGATCATACGGTCCTGGAAGGCAGGTGGTATACTCATGGGTGATGCCATTTAATTTTTTACTCATATCGTGACGTCTGGAGACTCCGGCCCACAAAATTCAAAGGGAAAATGCTCTAAGAGGGATATTTTTATATTACTGGTATATACGTATACAATGTATACAGTGTATTAATTATTCATATATAGTGGTACCTCTACTTACTAATCTAATTGGTTCTGGAAGAAATTTCTTCACGAGAAAATTTTAGAGTAGAGACGCGTTTTCCATGTAAATGCCCTAATCCGTTGCAAGCCCCCCCCCCCAAATTCAGACGTAAATGTTTTCTAAAGCATAAAAATGCATCAAAATATGTAACAAACACATGTTACAATTAGATTATTGCACAATAAATGACAGTTGTGCATAATGTAAAAAATAAAGACTAAATGGTAATGGGTTTGTGTTAGTTAAATCCTGCACCCTAACCTCATATTTTCTACCCTCGATTGTTTTTGTTTCTTCAAAATAATACTTTTTTTAGGAGTTCATCTCAAGCTAACAAAAGAATGTGGTTACCTTGAAGCGGCTAGTGAAGAGGTCCAGGTGAGGCAGAACAATGGGATCTCCATATAAACTCTGCAGGCCTAAAACACACTTGAGACGCACATCTGGAATCTACAGGACAATATGCAAAACAATACAAAATTGAAACTAGTATTCTAAGGAATATAAAATTGCATTCGCCATGTGTGCCGCATAACTTGTTCACCTTGTCATATGACATCCAGTCCATGTATTTGAGGTAAGTGTCATTGAGGAACACAGAACTGTAGAGCCTCATCCATCGGCCCAACTCCTCCGCACAGATGGAACGGATTTCTGGATGCACGTCACTGGACCACACATACAGATTTATCTTAGCTCTCAACGGTGTGTTCAGAGAGCCATGGAGTAGTTGTACCGATATCTCTTGAGAAAAACGGCCTTAAAGATGACGTTCATCATGCTCTCGATCTCGGCCCTCTTCCCTTGTAGCTTGAAGACAAAAGCCCAGATGTTTTGAATGGAATTTCTATCCTGGCAAGGGGAAAGCATTGTGTTTCTTACCTCCTTCACCTTCCGCTGTGCTCGTTCCACTTGTGCTTTCTGTCTGCTTGGCCTCTGCACCTGCTGCAGCTTTTGAGTCTTCTCAACAGCCAGGCTCAGATTGACAGCCACGTCCATCAGGGAGGTCAGCAGTTTGACCGCTAATCAAAATGATGGAAAATGCATGAAAGGATAAATTGTTCCACTGAAATAGGTGCATGATATTTAATATGACAAAACGGACTTCAGACTTACAGGAGGTGAATTTTGCAGAAAATATGGAGTGACAGATTTATTGTTTACAAAATGTGACTTGACACATTTTTATGAGGAAGTATACACATATTCGTGGCTGCCTGTTATTTTAATGCAGAGGTCAGCAACCTTAAATTGGCAAACCGCGATTTGGACTACCTCACGCAGAAAAAGAAAGACATTGGAAGCCACAAAACCCTTATGACCTCAAGAGTGAAGATAACATCACATGTTGTTTTGATACGTTTATGTAGAAAAAATACGTTGTTTTGCATTCAATAAATCAGTTAACTTCGAGAGAGAATGTAAATAGTTATTTCTGCATGTAACAAAAACTATAAAAAAAAAGACTTGACTGAACCTTACTTTCTAATACTGTATATAAGTCAATGTCGATGGGAGTCTTGACTCGTCCTCGTATTCATGAAAGTAAAGTCACAGCAAACCAAAACACCGCTACCTGATGCTGTGTTATGTCATAATTTTATCGCATGGAGCGTGCAGTCAGCTGTAAACTTGAATTAAGACTTGTCGTTGTGGCACAAGACTCATGTTTGAAAGGTAAAACAAGCATTTTTAATTCTGAGAATTTTTTATTTCTTATTTTTAACTGGTAAGTAAGCTGTTTTTTGGGCCCAAAAAAATCTTTGGAGATGTTTTTTGTTGTTGTTTTTGTTTGTTTGTTTTGTTTGTTTTTTTAATCAAAAATAAAAATTAAGCAATAAGAGGGATTAATGTACAAGCCAATCTATTTGAAACTGATTCACTTACTGGTTTAGTCATTGTTCTCCCAAGGAATGTAATATTTTGATCTGCTTTAATGAAGAACTAGAGAAAGCAAATAAAAGTTACTGTTGAGAGAGTGAAACCAGAGGAATTGGACAAGTGAAAATTAAATGGTGGCTCTTAATGATGACTCAATTGTTAAAATAGGTGCCAATTTGTTAATTGAATAGTTGCCATTAATCAATGTAATTTTTACACCTCAAAAATTCATCCTTAAAAACCCTACTGAAAAAAAAAGAAAAATTACTGGCGCCAACTATCTGCTGTTCAAGTGTTCCTGTGTGTGTGTGTGTGTGTGTGTGCGCGCGCGGTGTGTGTGTGTGTGTGTGTGTGTGTGTGTGTGTGTGTGTGTGGTGTGTGTGTGTGTGTGTGTGTGTGTGTGTGTGTGTGTGTGCATGGCCATTACCTGCTAGTGTGCAGGTGTGTCGGAATGCTCGTATGTGGGAGTCAGCGAGCTCGGAGAGTAGGGAGATGAGCATGTTAATCAAGTAGCTGTCAAAGATGAGGCTGTGTTGACACTGGCAAACCAGCACAGACACAAAGTCGCACAGCTCAGAGTGAAACCATCGGCCGTATGGTCCAGGCTGGATCAGAGGGTACTCCATGCTGTCCTATAAGGCAAGTGTTACACATGTACCGGTATATACATTTTCACCATGAACACTTTGCAGTACCATTCTAATCAATGAGGTAAATGAAAATGTCCAAATTGGGCCCTATGTGTCAGTAGCTGTGTCCAAATTCACAGGTTGCGCTTGATGTTACTTCTGTCGCAACTTCACCACACGTGGTTTCCAAATTCAAGAAAGACAATTCGCAGGCTGGGTCCTACGACGCCTGCGTGGACCGCATAGACCGTGGCAAATTTGGACTGGCTTAGTATGAATTTGGACACCAGGTACGGTCGAGTCACGCCGGAAGTGACGTCATGTGGCCAAAAATGCGGCCTTCAGAGAACCCAGCCTGTGAATTTGGACACAGACAATGTTTTGGATACGCAGTGCATCAGAGCTCCAAAGGTTTCCTCTAGTATATTGTACTGGTAAATAACAGAATTTAACAGAGTTTAACAGAATTTGAAATACATTTGACAAAATCATCTACCATTAAAATATATATATGTATATATATGGTTTACTGATGGGTAAGTCATTGTTTATATTCCCGACTGACTGATTGATTAATTGAGTGATTAATTGTATAGCAAAGTAGATAATGCTCACAGCATCCATGGGCCAAGTGACAGTGAGAATCCATGGAAAAGCCAGAAACTTCTTGTATTGCAAACCGGCAACCTAAAACACAGTGTGTTGTAGACTCTTACCACAAAGTAGTTGTGTGACAGATGCAACATAATGACTTCTTCCGACCTCATCCGAGTCCTCCACCAACTCGTCCACCATCTTGTCCATGGCATCACTGTCGCCTTTGGTGTGACACATTTCAGCTGTGACCACACCTGCAAAAAAAAAAAACATTTGGCATGATGCATGTGTGCTGAGAGATGGTCATTACAGTGTGAACGTTGCCTTTGCAACCACAGCACTGGATGAAGAATCTGATGAGGTCGAGGAGGGAGGCATCTCTGTCCGCGGCATAGGCCTCCGTCCAGCCGTCGATCACCACCTGCTCAGATGTCAGTCAGAATCGGCTAAGGATCAGAATGTTGTCAAGGTGGATCTTACCCGCATGGCGCTTGGACCCATTGTAATGGCGTCAAACAGAGTGACAGCCTCCGCGTGTGCACGTTTACGATGACGGACGTCCTTTCGAACACCGCAACGGCGACTTTGGGCCTTTTTCCTTGTGACATTCTCCACTTCCTTGTGAGTTCTTTTCCTACGCCTCTGTGGTTTACACAAATGACACAAGTTGGAGATAACTTGACACTTGAGTCTAGTTCAAGTCATTCAAAGCATTTTTAAAATCATATTTTCCAAAATGTAGTTCTTGCATGTGCGGCCCGGTGATGATCCCGGCCGGCTCTGGCCTTCCTGTGGGAAGTTTGCATGTTATGTCCGGCCCTGCGTGGGTTTTCTCCGGGTACTCGGGTTTCCTCACACATTCCAAAAACATGCATGGCAGGCTGATTGAACACTCTAAATTGTCCATAGGTGTGAGTGTGAGCGCGGATGGTTGTTCGTCTCTGTGTGCCCTGCGATTGGCTTCAGGGTGTGCCCCCGCCTACTGCCCGAAGACGGCTGGGATAGGCTGCAGCACCCCCCGTGTCCGTTTTGAGGATAAAGCAGATCGAAAAATGGATGGATGGATAGTTCTTGCATTGTATGCACTTTTTGTAATTTTAGTAACCTACTTTTTATTTCTTTACTTTGCTTTTTTAAATGGCTGTAACTCTTTTGTTTGAAACCACTTATAAATGTTGTGGATTGAGTTACTTAGTTTATGAAATGCACTATATACTGTAAATAATGCTGCCCATGGCTTCAAACTGCCCTTAAACGGTAGCATTTTGCAACTAAAATTTGAGACGGTGCAACTATAATTATTATCCACTCGCGGCAGTGCAACCATTAAATTTGCAGATTTATAATTTTTTTTTTTGTTGTTGACAAACTTTTGCTCCACACGTCAGCTCTTTTATCAATAATATGGTTAAAATGAATGGGAAGAATATCGATTTTGCAAGTCAATTTCCAGTATGTGCCCCTTAAAATTTCAGGTTAGGGGTGACTATGCTCCCAGTAAAAAACCCTACAGATATGCTGCACTGCTGGCCTTCACAATTTTTTTTTTTTTGCAAAGAAAAAAAAAAAAGGATTAATCATGGGAAACTACAGTATCATGTTTTATTCATAATTCTTTTTCTCAAATTTCCCAATTTTCTGTAATGCACCATGAATAACTCACCCCTCTCTTGTGTCTGTTCTCGTTGCCAGACTCATCCTCGGAATTGTTGACAGCTCCTGAGGAGTTTGCCTTGTCCTGGTTTGAGCTTTTACTGCCAAGAAAAATGAAACATTATTGTACATCGATTTAAAATAAATGACCCAGAAGGAAACATACTATCTATTTTTTCTTGTAATGTCAAAAAAAAAAAAAACAATACTTCAGCTCAGAGGATCCACCGGATGCAGCTGCAGACGCGGGGTCTGGTATCATCTCCTCCTTTACACAACACTCAGGTGACTTGTTTTACTGGGAGCAACTCTTTAGTCTAAAAGTCAGAAAATCATGTTGATAATAATTAGACAAGATAATCATGTTGCCATAAGCCTACATTACCTCAAGACTGCAAGTGCCAAAAAGGATTGCTTGCAAAAATACGCTGCGTATTATGACTGCATCCCAAAGGCTTTTCATGATTTGGTGATGCTAAAAGGTTGAGAGTGTTGTTGTTGTAAAGCGTTGACACGAATCATATGAGTGTGATGACTGGAATGGGGAATGTGATCATATACACTTGACTTCCGCTGATTCCCTGAGACTGATTCACCTAACCTATGATTAAGAATCACTGATATAGAGCAGACCATTCACACTCACACCTAAAGACATTTTTTAGAGACTTTATTGAACCTGACACGCATGTTTTTGGAATGTGGGAGGAAGCAGGGGAACCCAGAAAGCAATGAAATCAAACTCCCAATTTCGTGAGATGTATGTGCTCATCCACCATATCCCACAATAAACTTTTATTTATTTATTTTTGATTAAAATAGCATAGAACCAACTAGGGCGGCACAATATATAGAAAAAAAAGCATCATCGCAATAATGGCACGTGCAATATACGTATCACAAAGACTTTTTATATGGAATTGTATGCTTTTATCTGACTTTAAAGGAACTGTGGCCCAGTTTTCACTCCAAAAAACGGATATTAGTTTGCATTTTAAATTTTATTCATTGGTTTGGAAGAGATCAGTAAATAAGTAAAAGGATTTGCTGATAAACAGCAGAATTCAGTCCTGAGGTAGCAAAACAGCCCCAGAGCATCACAGTGGCACCGCCATGCTTCACACTGTTGGTATAATGTTCTTTTTAATCAAATGCTGTGCCGGTTCTCCACCAGATGTAATGGGCCACACATCTTTCAAAACGTGCAATTTTCAGTCCACATAGTTCATCAGTCCACATAATGTTTCCCCAAAAGTCTTGAGGATAATCAAAATGTCTTTTGGCAAATGTGAGACAAGCCTTATGTGTTCTTTTTGGACAGCAGTAGTTTTCACATGGGAACTGTCTTTAGTCATAGTTACTTTGTGATTTAACAAAGGGGGGCAATTACTTTTTTACATGGGGACAGGTAGTTCGGGATTCTTTTTGTTGTGCCTTAATTAAATTGGCATTTAGAAACCATATTTTGTATTACCTTGGGTAGTCTCTGTGTGATATTAAAATTGGTTTGATGAACTGAAACGTGTGCACGATAAATATGTAATGAACACAGAAATCAGGAAGGGGACAAATACTTTTTCACAGCACTGTACATCACAAAAAATCTAAATAATATTGATTTGACAATATTCAACACGCATATTGCATAGCCACGAATATGGCATAGTCGTTCATCCATCCATTTTCTAATCCGTTTATCCTCGTGACGGTGGTGCGGATGCTGGCACCGACCCCAGAACTCTTCGGGCAGAAGGCGGGGTACACCCTGAACTGGTTGCCAGCCAATCGCAGGGCACACAGACAAACAACCACTCATACTCGGGGACAATTTACAGTGTCTCCATTTTGCATATTTTCCAATATTGTGGAGCCCTACTACCAAGTAACTTTTCTTCATATAATTAAATAAATGACATTTTTACTTTTTTAATCAATATTCTCCAGGCACCAGAGTGGCGGCGTTGCGGTACTGTATTTGCATCGTATGTTGAGATTGCTATGAGATGGTGTTGTGTCCTTAATTCACCTACGGTGGAACGCAATCGAAGCATACAATGGAATAACTTGGTGTTCAGCACATAATGTATTAATCTATAGATATGGGAGGTGTCCCATACAAATAAGATTAAAAGCTCCGTTGATCGGTAAAACAATTTTTAAGTACGTTCTTCAAGGAAGGAGCACTTTCCCCGGGGAGCAGAATTACAAGATAACGAACGATGTTTTGAAAGCACAGGGAGCAATTACAAGCTATACTACAGTTGGATCAAACACAAAATTCCAGAAAACCCAAATGTAAAAGTATAATCCACCCTTGTTTACTGTATTGTGTAGTCATAACAACAAAGTCAGCCTTTTCAGACCAAACTAAACAATACAACAACCAGCATCCTTACCGTCATTGTCGTAGGCAATTCTTCCGCGAACATCATTGTATTATTTTAAAATACAAATGTGTAAGAATCAATTTATTCAGTGAATTATTGCATGTTTTCTCCATTGTTTTCACCGTGGCTCTCACAGTCAAGTTTACGGAAAATCCGAAACGTTCTTGATTGGCTGAAATTCTGAACTGGAATTGTGTGATTGGATTTTCACTAAACGTCAATCTCTTGGAGTTCGTCCCACTTAACCGGTTAGTTGGGCTGCGCTGCATTCAGGTGACATTGGAAAGAGTGGTAGCCTTTTCCATTCCTGACGACCGTTTGAATTTCTCTGATGGTTTTTTTTCCCCTTGATACAATTATGTAATAATAGTGTGTGTAGGTAGTTGGGTAGATGGATTTTATTTTGCTTCTCTCTGAATTATGCCCCCTCTTGGCCGGGCCAACTTAATGAGAATCTGCTAGCTTTCGACTTTGAAGCTTCCGCTGAACATATGAAAACAGAAGAACACGCACGATAAACCGCCAATTGCTTTTAAATTTATTGTTACAGGTACAAAACGCATTCATAACAGGTGTTACAATTGGTGCAAGATTCAGACAAACCATTGCAAAAATGTACATGTAGGATATTTAAATGGATTTTACAATCCTACTGTTGAGTCTAATGGCATAGCACCGTTTGAGTCTCTGTTTTGTTTAACTAAGAATGTAGCCCACTGGGGGTGGTGGTCACACAACATCAAGACACAAACTGGGACATGAAGGTCATGGCCTGGTCAAGGTCATCAGTGAGCTCGTCCGGCAGTGAGAGCACTACTGACGTCAGTTTGTGAGTAATATCTAATATCCTACAAAGAAAAAAAAAGAGTATGGGTGATCAGATTTTATTCCAGAGATTAGATTCATCATTATTAAAACCACAAGTAAAAGGCACAATGCAGATTGCATCAAATTAAAATTGCATAAACACCCATGGTAAGCAGTCAAAATCAGGACAAAAACAGCCCGATTGTACTTGTGTATACCCGGCCTTAGCGACAATAAGAAAATGTGGATTCCAGGGTGACAACAGTTGAGAACTAGTGAATTAGCAATTTGACCGTTTCTTAAACTAATCTGGTGTAAAATGTGTCCTTATAGGGCCAGCACACAGGCCCTTGATAGGTTTGTCAGATCAAAACTACAGACAACTGCGACTAGCAAAACATCTTAAGTAGACACAAATACATTTAATAAGCATCTCTGGTGATTATGATGCATGTACTTACATTTCTTAATATTTTTGTTGTGTTATTAGATTAATATTCATTCTAAATGGATCCAGATGTTGTAGACAGGATAACACAGTTGTGTACTTTTAAAAGGCATTTTTTTGTATAGTAGTGGTTTCTATGGTTGTGACGTGGTATTAGGACAGCGGAGCCCAAATCCAGTCCTCAAGAGCCAAATCCAGCCTGTTTTGGATGTGTCCCTCATTTAACAAACCTCATTAAAATGATCAACTCATCAGCAAGTTCTGAAGAAGCCTGATATTGATCCTGATTATTTGAATCAGGTGTGTTAGAGCAGGGGTCCCCAACCACACGTCAAGCCACGCTTCTCCGTAACGCGGCCAATTAGGCTAAAAACAAACACCGGAGCTCGCAAAATGAGTAAAAAAACTGCTGGAGATCGCAAATGACGGCGGCCTTAAAAGTACGTTCAAGACAACTGGATTAAAATTATGGCTGAATACTCTGAGATGGCCACAATAGCACTGTTGCTATATCCGACATGCTACCGGTGTGAGGAGGGGGTTTTCTGCAGCAACGGCGACGAAAACAAAATTACGAAGTAGACTGGACATAAACCACACACTTGAGGTGTCATTGTTTCCTATTACCCCGAGATGGGCCGTCTGGTTGCAGAAAATCAAGCTCGGTGCTGTGGTGAGTCGTCATTTTCATGCACTTTGAATTTGCGTTGTATCGTATTTTGAAGGCATTAAACATTGCCATAGCGATCGGAGTGTTGCGGCCAGATTAGACGTTCCTTGTGTTTATTATTATATTTCGTAAACGCCACAGTTTTCATGCAGCTTATACCATATAGTTTTGTTGTATTATTTCCGTCACACCTTAAATGCCGGTCCGTGAAAATATTGTCTGACATAAACCGGTCCGTGGGGCAAAAAAGGTTGGGGGCCCCTGTGTTAGAGCATGGAAACATCTAAAATAGGCTGCATAGGGGCTCTCGGGGACCAGACTTGGGCAGCACAGTACACAGTCGGATAAGTCCCCACTAAAAGCCCCTCCCAAAAAATGCATGTCCCACCATTGATAAGCAGTAATTAAATATGTACCGGGGCGGTCCCCGAGTAACAAAAATATATCATTGATACCCGTTATAATTGCAATAAAAATAAGTGAGGATTTTTTTTCCCCCAAAAATCTTGAATCAGCAAGGTTATACAGCCAATAAGCGTTTGCTACAAAAAACAAAAAAAATTGTTGTTCCCCCCCCCCAAAAAGAAAAAAAATCCTCCATGCAAAAAAAATTTAAAATATTTGTTAAATATAAGAAGTAAGCGCTTCAGATAAGGGAAGTATACAATATGATAACAGCATTTACATTATTGCATCCTATATTGGCATATGCAATATATAGTACTACCCTGAAACATTCCCCTCCTCTGTGTTACATGATACACTTGAACCCACCAGTGGATATAATGAGCAGCCAGCTGAGGTTCGTGCCTGGAGCCTTCCTCCACCACCAGAGACTCTTTCATCTGCTTGAAGTTGGCTTCAATGTCTTTCTTTGTCTCAGAGAAGATGTCAACGCTTTGGAAAGAGCTGACTACTTGCTATGGAAAAAAAAGTCACTTTTAATAGCAAGCCACTTCAGAGTAAAGGGAAGCAAATGATCTTACATATATAACGGAGAGCTGGTGGGCGATGTATTTGTGACTTCCCAGGTGCCTGATGTCCTCCTCGAGCTGCTGACTCAGCACAAGCAGCTGATTCAGTTTGGCAATGTGGGAGAAATAGTCTGCAAAGGAAGCATCAGCTTGCAGTGACTTGGTCCATTGTGGTGGTACCTTCAAGGCATGCATACTAAATGTATGAAAACACACGACATAAGATTCAAACAAATATGGATGAACATTTGTGTGATAATTTCTATGTTTTGTGCGAAGGCCCTCAGGTACACTTGACAAACAGGTGCTACAGAACTGTGAAGTTTATTTGCCTATGCCTTCTATTGTGGGCGGAGCATGGCATCAAAGTTTGATATCATTTTTAGAACATTGGCCGTGAAAATGGCTGAGTGTAGATATGTTTGTGCCGCTTGAAGCTTTGATTCGTTTTGAGAATTGCACATTAAGCCACTTCAAATATGACATATGACTATAATGTACAGTGTTCCCCCACAGACTGTATTTGCGATTCACTAAACATGAATTATAATTCCCCGTAGAAGTTACAAGATGGTACCAAAGCACTACTTTTAGTGAAATTAAATTCCTCATCTCACTTCAACATCATTCCGTGGCAACAAGATGCCACAAGGCACCAGAGTAATACTTTTTTATTTAGGTAGCATTTTTCTTGAGATGAAGCTCCTCTACTCACTGCAAGATAGTTCCTTGGCACAAAATATGTCCTAAGTTGTGTGAGGGTCCGGAAGGTTTCTGGACAGAATTGGTCTCTACAAACATAGACTCAGATAATATGTACAGAAATATTTATTTAGAGAAAATCTCACGAAGCTGACAAAGTAAAAATAATGACGCTGGTCAACAAACCAAGATAAAACAAGAGAAACAAAAAGCGCTTGCAGAAGGCAAGTAAAATACAATGCTGGGATACCACTACTTTTGTCGAAATAAAAATCCTCAACTCATTTCATCATAGTTTTTTGGCAACAAGATTCTTCAACTTGGTGGCAAAGCACTACTTTTATTCATTCATTCATTCATCTTCCGAACCGCTTGATCCTCACTAACGTCGAGGGGGGTGCTGGAGCCCATCCCAGCTGTCTTCGGGCAGAAGGCGGGGGACACCCTGAATTGGTTGCCGGCCAGTCGCAGGGCACACAGAGACGAACAACCATCCACGCTCACATTCACACCTAGGGACAATACAGAGTGTTCAATCAGCCTACCATGCATGTTTTTGGAATGTGGGAGGAAACCGGAGCACCCGGAGAAAACCCACGCAGGCCCGGGGAGAACATGCAAACTCCACACAGGGAGGCCGGAGCTGGAATTGAACCCGGTACCTCTGCACTGTGAAGTCGACGTGCTAACCACTGGACTACCGGGCCGCCCTGCACTACTTTTAATTAAATTAAATTATTCATCTTGCCTCAACATTGTTCCCTGGCAGCAAGATGCCACAAAATGGCAGCAAAGTAATACTTCTATTTATTTGGACTGAGTACGAAAATAGCAAATATGTGAATTTTCTGAAAGTACAGTGGATGGATTGCAAAAAAATTTGGCAAAAGGTGAATTTGTGATTGCTGAACCACAAATATGTGGGGCTTTACTGTATGTACTCTTGTGTATGTTTCACAGACATGTCACGTAATAAAAAAAAAAAAAAAAAAACACTCAAACTTTGGACGCCACGAGTTTTGTCAGAATACATCACCTCAATAGGATTAACTCTGCTCAGGGCTGGATTGGCCATTTCGTGTGAGTGCAGATGTCTGGTAGGCCAGCATCTTTTGGGGCCAATGCAGTGACATTTAATTATTATTTTCCTCCATTTTACCACAGGAGACTGGCGATTTAGAGGCAGCAGCTCATTAATCCATTTGGAATATAGACAGCAAACTGAAGTAATAAACTTTGATTGCGGAGCTACATGGTAGCCAGGGTTGAGAGGCTTCGCCATGCCGGCGGGCCCAAAATGACAGGGCCGATTTCTTGTGACACTCCAGTCCTGACTCTGCTTGTGTGTGAAGCAATTTTGTTGGATTTTGGCTGAAACTGATCAAAAGCCACATTTTCTGTGCCTGTGAAAGACCTCCTGTTAATTTTTTCCCCTGTCATTGCTCTGTATCAAGATCACCGTCCACCAGAATGGAAGGGACTAAGGTAGTTGATCTGGCTTTGGTTTGGTTCTCCCAAATGTAACTAAATGCCTGAACTGTGTTATGGCTATGATAGGGGAACATTCTCTTTGTGTTAGTTCATATATATATATATTTTTTTTTTGCCTTGGTTAGTAGTGGTTAATATTGTCTGTATTGTTCATAAATAAGAAAGTGTTAATGATGACAATATAGTGCAAATGGTTTCAAAATCCGAACAAATTGAAGAAGTTCAAATGTGTATGTAAAATAATGTGGACATTATAGGAATCATTCATGCATTTCATACTTATGCCTTTGTTATGTACAGTATGTTATAAAGCAGGATTGTGGCACCAGTGGCCAAGCCTTACCATCCATTGGTGGCCTCTCCAGCATGTCCACCGGACAGCCTTGGATGAGGAAAACCTCCACACGTGGAAACATTTCAGACAAACCCACCATATCCAGGTAGTCCTATGGTGACAACACGGATACATTTTATTTATTTATTTACTTACTTACCTTTTTTTAACACTTGAAGCATCTACAGCAGGGATGGGCAAAGTCATGGAGGCCACATATGGCCAGCTCCATTGTTTAATCCAGTCCACTAAGCATTTACATTATCAAGAGTCATGTAATAGTTTTTGCATGAATTTAACTTCTCACTGAAATCAGTTCATAAAAATGTATTGTTTGCCATTTTTATTATTTTCTCATTCTATATTACAGTATTTCTATTATTTATGGTTAAAATTAACTATTTTATCTGCAGTTATTGACATTTTTGTTTATTTTTAACTCATCTACAAATGACCTGGTGCTTTCTGTTGGTTTGAAAAATGAAAAAGTCTTCCCACCCCTGGTCTGCAGCCATGTATGAGATTTAATACAGCTACCTCCAGTTGTGGCATAGGCTTTGGTAGATGTTCAAGGCACTGCAGCATCTGGTCGAGAATTTCCGCTCCTGGAGGAAGACAACAGATTCATTGAAATGCAATACAATATTCTATTATATAATACGATATTCCTATACACTGTATACTATGTTGTCGCTAGTGACCTTGAGCCTGGAAGGTGTCTGACTCCTCTGGGCTGCAGCCTTGTCTTAATTGTTCCTGGAACTGTCAAAGGAATGAAAAACAGCCTAGATGTGTATGCTTTTGCGAAATGTGAATGCAACACGTGACTTGGACCCTTTATTAAGTCCGCCGGCAGAAGAACTACACAAGAGCAGTATTACATAATCAACCATTAATTTTTGATAGACATTCCCAACTAGGTATTTCAATAAAAATACAAAGCAAAAAGTCATACAAGTGAAAAATAGGCATTACATTCAAACAATAATTTAACGCTTTCATGCATCCTTTAACCTGAGAACATGATAAGATGTCCACTGTGGTAACCACTGTCCCTGAAAGGGTTAAAGTTGGAATACGTTTTTTTATATTAACATTGAGAAAGTTTTCACACTTGTATGAAAATTAGAATGCGCAACAATTTTATCTGTAAGGTAAACCTTGCATGAAAAACGTTTTGAATTATGTGGTTTACCGCTTGTTATGAGTGAATGATAGAAGAATATTAAAATGTTACATATAAATCCCTGTCCAGTTAACACATCGCTTGTAGTTATAAACATTCACCTTTTATAATGGACAACATTTAACCATGGAGGTTGGTTTGGATTATTTTATTTTGCTAAATAACAAAACTATTGTGCACAGTACCACTTCCAACTGCCACATGCTGTAAATACACTGTTGTAGTACTGTATACCTCTTTGACGGTGTCAATCAAAACACGGAATTATCTTAGCGCAGGCTGAGTATGCAGGACATTACTATTTAACATAATCGTAGTATTGGATCTATGTCAACAATACTGCGTTCACGGATGCTCGGGGGAGCCTCTACCTCCTGCATCTGTGCCCTGATGAGAAGGTCCAGCTGCCCACAGAGACACAGCATCTCCACAGCCACCTGTTCTGGACTCAGGTGTAGCGGCATCAGTGGTCTCTTCACCTGTAGCTCCACTAAGCTCACATACACCAGCAAGCCACTTTGTTATAACAGCACTTATACATGAGACAACATGGACCACTATTGTACTGTAAATGGAGGATTATTTTTTAAAAAGCTAGCGCTGACTCACCTTTAAACGCCTCGTGGAAGGTGCTCGGCTGACAAAGCGGCTCAGATAAGCATCCTGCCATCTTAAAAATCACATTAGTGAAGCTAACTAAATCCACGCAGAGCACAGGTGGAAAAAACTAAAAAGCGCCTAGTTTACGCATGTTTGGAGCGGCGATGGTGCGTCCGAGTGTGCGACGGTGAAAACAGTCGCAAAAAAAAAAATAAAATTATTGGCTGGATCGCCGATGTTCGGGGTGCTATTTTAGCAGTTGGTCGGATGGATCCATCGAAGTGACAACCCCTCCCGCCCCCCAACCCACGCCCTGCCAGTGCCAGCCGTGCAGCCGCAGTCTGTCAGTGAGAGCCCTGAACGCCCCTCCTCGTGAACAATGACGTCATCCTGAGAAAAATGCAATCCGATGATTTTTTTAAAATCTATTTCGTACTCAGAACACGATGGTGTACAGCATATTTTACGTCGTTGTTTTTTTTTAAATATATGTCATCTGTTACTCAAAATAAATGACCTGACAAAGCAAATTAAACAGCTGCTGCAGCAAAGTGGAGAATGTGGAACATGGTCCTGTATTGACCGCTGTCCACGTCCAGCTCACTGCTCGTTTATATTTAAGTAAAAATAGTCCTGTATTATTTATTAACGGAGCCGATTTTCCCCTCAAAGTTAGTTAATATTTTATTTTGTATTCATTATCTTATTTGATTTTTTGAAAAATATTGACAATTATATATA